CGTTAAGTGTTAGCAGTGAAAGAGGCTCAGAAGGCAGGTCTGCTCGTTTTAACAGGAGCAGTTCCCTAAACTAAACCGTCACGTACACTTTGCCATCCATTCTCTTACTCCCACATTTACATTATGCTTTTAACAGTATTTGAAAAATCCTAAATGAATGAGGAGATATTCTTTCAGGGCATAACTTGACCTGTTTTCTCTTCTTTATAAGCAATGATGCAAATGAAACAGAGCGAGGTTTATAACTCAGGATGAGTCTGTGGATTTAGTGGAAAAGTTTCATACAAAACAGTCAAGTTTAATGAACCACTGAAAGGGAAACAAACTGACAATGTTTTAAAAAAGAGGGCAAGAAAAATTAAAGCCAAAGTAATTAACTATGAATTCAGTATCGGCATTTGGTTTGGATATTTATTACAGAAATCATGCTATGTATACCACAGAGCACGTTTCTGATCCAAGCAACTTGCACCCTAGACAGACTAGAAGGGGGAGAGAGACAGGGGAGAAAATTGGGACAAATATGCAGTGCAGCTGAGGTGAAGAGACAGAGGGAAGAAATGGTCATGAATACCTGTCCGTAAGTGATAGCCCAGTGGACAAGTTAGCACTGCTGGTTTTACTGAAATGTCCAGACATCACTGCTTTGGCTTTATTACAGATGATTTGCCAATTGGTGTCTCATGATGCCCTTCTTTTTCAGATTACCCCTCAAAGCAAGCTAGCAAGACCCAGGGAAGAAAAGTCATCACCTGGCTTCTACTATTACCATGGCAAAGGGCAGAAGTGCTTGGCATCTCTGACCTGTATCATCATCTCTGTAGGAGCAGAGAAGCAAAACAACAAACCTTGAATTTCACAATTCAGGGTGAGCGTGCAGGTTTAGGAATGTGGAAAATCCTCATACAAAACATGCAAAGAGAATCTGAGAAAGGTGCCCCCTCTTCACCCCCTACCTGCTGACTCCTCTCCTGGGCACTTGCTCTTGCTTTATCTATTTACTCAAATGACCAAACCCATATCTCAAAAACAGTATCCCATGAAACAAAACCAAAAAAACCAAAACCAAAAAAACAACCACCAAAAAACTAAAACACCTTCCCCAATAAGAGTATTTTGAGAATAGCAATAAAATGCAGGATATCATACCTTTAGACCAACCCCACAAGCAAAACTTCCAGGGATGCCAATTCATGATGTTGGTGTTTTGAACACACAACTAAATGACTCAAGCAACACAATCTTGTCCCGAAAGCCTTCCTCACAAGTGACTTCAGAACTACCAACAGGTATTTTTAAACTGCTCTTCCCAAAAAGTGCAAACGTATGCATACTTGGATACATAAAAGACATCACCACAGTGTTCACACATCACCCTGCATTCCTTCTCTACTCTTACCAATCCAATCCTGACACTTGCCTCGCAGTGCACCGAAATGCAAATTACAAAGCACCAACGGTTTTGCAGACTTGTATTACATCAAATCCTCCCAAAGCTTTAAATACATATTTGTAAGATCAAGCTAGGCAGCAGTTAAGATTTGAAAACCAACTTCAGCTTAGCCTTTATACATACTACTTCTGATAATATTCTTTCTGCTGCTTCATTCCACTTTCCCCAGCAGGATTTCTGCTTCATGCAGCAAACGGACAATTGCCCAGTTTTTGCCCTCATCCTATGACCCATTAAATGCTTACCATCTGCATCTTACACTGAATACAAAAACCTTACATTTCTCTATAGACGTGTTTATGCAGATCTGTCCATAACATGGGAAGACTACATAAAATAAATGTAAACTTTGCAATAACTTTGTGAGATTAGTATTCCTATTCCTGTTCTAAAGGTGGGCGACCAGCACGCAATGATGAAAGTCCAAACGGTAAAATAAATGCCCACTAACTTTGGTCGCCCAATTTCAGACACTCAGTGCCTAGTTTTTCAGTCAGTACTTTTAACAGAACTTTAACTGGAGCTGTGCTTTGAAAAATATAACCAGCTGCTATTTTGAATATCCAGCATGCCTATAAATGAGGCCCAAAGTATCTCAAAATGCAAGCAAAATTGAAAACCGTCACTACGACATATTTTCATTATATTGTTTCTCCAGGTCACTAAAACTGTGGTTTACTAGTGATTTGTATTCCGAAGAAGGGAAGGAGCTCATATGGAAGAGTGTGGTCATTACTGGGCTGTGTTACAGTCATGTAGGTAATCTTCATCTGACACTTTTTCTGACTTTTGAGTGTCTGCTATCACAGGCTATATATTCACCTGGTAAACATTTTGAGCATCTGATTTCTTACATTTTGAAAAGAAACAGAAAACACAGCATTTCTACCACAAAGTCAAAGCTTATCCGTTTGTGATTACCTGTGGCTGCTTCAGTCCACAGCACAGATTTCTACCACTTCAGCTACCAGAAATATGTACTCATTTCCACACAAAAATATGATTAATCCCTTGCCAATACTATAGGGGGTAGAAAGAGAAACTGACTCTCTGGCTCCCAAATTCCATCCCATTCACTTCCAATTCCAGCAGCGAGACAATGTGTGCATCTACACAGCGTTTTAGTTTGGATCAGGAGAGGGCTTCTGAAGCAAGTCTCCCAGCCATCCTCACTTCAGATGCTTTGGCATGCATTGTACAGTGGTGTCCAAATGCACATACCTGACTTCTTTTAAGCTAAACTGAACTAGAAGATCTGCTCCAAAGGTAAGCAGATATTTAGCCCATGGACTGACCTAGGCAAAAGCAGTATTTCCCAAAATTAGTACAGCATCAATGTTGGATCCTGATTGACAACACTTCACTCCACAGAAACACTCCTCCTGCATTGTACTACTTGCTGAAGTAAACAAAGCCAAAATCTAACAGTCAGCCTTTTCCTAATTACATCTCCCATCTTTACCCACATTGACCAGTGTGGAGCTGACATACAGCTCCACTGTATCCACACACTGCGATACATGAAGAACTGAAAATATAAAACTAGCCTTGAAATAGAGCACAAAAATTATCCAGCTTCCTAGAAGACAAACGGAACAGCCATTCAGATAGCAAGCAAGCAGGAACAAGGACAGAGCTGGACATCACCATCATGAAAGCTTCCACAGAAACCAGGCGCTTAACCAAGCAGTTATTTTGTTGGCAAATGTTATATACAGTAACTTCAACATCTGGGAGTGGTATACTTGCATACCTTTTGAAAACTTATGTCAAGCTCTTATAACATTGTCAGTATGGGCAAAACACAACTTTTAAACACCTCATGACTTGGTCAGATGTGAGCAGAACACCCACAAAGAACAAAGACAACACATTCCCAAAAACAGCATGATTCATTCCTCAAACCAAATTCTAACTTGCCTCCCCGAAGTCATAAAACCTGTTCCAATAAGCAGCTCCAGTTTTATAGAAGAAATAAAAAACCCTGATCCACTTAAAGCTGAGACTTCCTAGGGGGAAAAATGTTCTGATGCAGACACATGGAACGGCAAGTTTCACCCTGAACAGTTATAATTTAGCACATGTATAAGAAAACAAACACAGACTTCTTTACCTCCTCAGGTACAGGTCATACCAACAGCCCAGCTTATAATGACAGTAACGCCT